GTGGATCATTCAACGAAGGCACTATAATGATTAGGGGTACAAAAATCAGATTTAAGAGCTCTTTAATCCAAAAAGGGAAAAAGATTCAGATTCACATAAAAATGAAATTTCAAATCAGAATCTTTTAATAAAGTTTATTTTTATTATTTAAATACAAAATTTAATTAAATATTTAAAAATAAATAAAATAAATGACTCGTTATTTAATAAACATAGAGTCTAGAAAAATATTTCGAGCTAAGAACACTTTTAATGAGTTCAATTAAAAAATAAAATAATTAAAAATAAATAAATAATTTAAAAATAAATGAAAATTTGGGTTCACAGTTCACGGGAAGCTATTATAGAATTCACCTCTACCAATGTGCTGGTTTTTTCCATTGCGAGAAAGACTTGGCTTGTTTCAAGATGAACACATTTTTCTTACTGTTCTTTGGGTCACTTCGATGTCCAATCTCGTGCCTTTCCTATGTTCTTTCTCTCTCTCTCTCTCTCTATCTGTTCCTCGCTCACTGAAAGCTTAGAGTGATTTTCGTAAAACCCCACGATTTTGTTACTGTTTCTACCAAATTTTGTTCTTAGGGTTGATTTTTTTTCTTTATTACTTTAGCTTTTTCTAGCGCCTCGAGCCGTGATCTTTCTCCAAAAGCGATAAAAAACTTTCCAAATTCCATTTCACCTTCCGCTTTGTTGTTTAATTTTTAAACACACTGTTTCTTATCAATCACTCACTCACTTCAAATATGTCTTTATTTCGGTACTCTGTTTATTTTTGGTTGTTTAGAGTGATTTCTTGATTTTCGATCTTCTATTTGGTGCTTGCTTTTGCGTCAGGGAAACTTTTGCTCCAAGGAAAAGAAAAGGGTAACAAAGCTTGAAGAGATTTCTCTCATAGGTTTTTGCTGTTCATTCTGTTTCAGGCTCTGTTCTTTTGCGTTTCCTCGTCTTTTCTTCTGAGAATATGGGCTTTTCCCCCTGGAAAATTGATGAGATTTGGTTACATAATGTCAGAAGCATCTGGATTTGTACCAAGAGTTGAGTATTTCATAGTTTAGCTTCGATTTATGTTACTTCCTCTTTGAGGACTTTCGTCGAACACCTTGTCGGCAAGTTCGAACTCGGTAGTTTTTCTGGTTTTTCTCTTGCTGCTTTTGAAAAATGGGTTGTATCCACACAAAATGTTGCTGTCGGTACCCAAAATCATTGGTTGGAGAATCCCAGGACTTTCACCAAGGGGTTCCTTACTGTCTACAAGATAACAACACTGTGATAGAAAGAGCATTGGAGCTTATTCCTGTGGCTTCCCACAACTATCATTTGGATTACTTGGTATTGGCTCAGCGTGGTTACTACCCTGAATCTCCTGATAAAGAAAATCAAGACAGTTTCTGTATTAGAACAAATGTTCAAGGTAACCCAAATGCTCATTTTTTTGGTGTTTTTGATGGGCATGGTCAATTTGGAATGCAGTGTTCAAATTTTGTGAAGGACAGGTTAATAGAAAAGCTATGTAATGATCCCACATTGTTAGATGATCCTGTTCAAGCTTATAATTCAGCGTTTTTATCCACTAATGATGAACTGCATTCAAGTGAAATAGATGATTCCATGAGTGGAACAACAGCAATTACAGTCCTTGTTGTTGGGGATACTCTTTATGTAGCCAATGTGGGTGATTCAAGAGCTGTAATTGCTGTTAAAGAAGGGAATTGTGTTCTTGCCAAAGATTTGTCAAATGATCAAACACCATTTAGAAAGGACGAATATGAGAGGGTTAAGCTTTGTGGAGCTAGAGTTCTTAGTGTTGATCAAGTGGAAGGACTTGTGGATCCTGATATTCAATGCTGGGGTGATGAAGAAAGTCAGGGCGGCGATCCGCCTCGACTTTGGGTTCAAAATGGGCTGTATCCTGGGACTGCATTTACCAGGAGCATAGGTGATAGTACCGCCGAGCAGATCGGTGTAAATGCTGTTCCTGAGGTTTTAGTTCTTCAGCTCAACCCCAATCATCTTTTCTTTGTGGTTGCTAGTGATGGAGTTTTCGAGTTCCTTTCAAGCCAAACTGTTGTTGATATGGTATGTAATGCTATCAATTTCTAGCTAGATTTAGCAAACTACGTTTCGTTTACATCTTTCTTTGATGAGTTCTTCTTGTTTATGATATCTCGATTGTCGTGTCAATGTTTTGTATATATGAAGCACTTATTAAGATATTGATTAGCCTATCTTTATGTGAGATCGCACATCGGTTGGAGAGGATAACGAAACAATCCTTGTAAGGGTGTGGAAACCTCTTATTAGTAGACTGGTTTTGAAACCGTGAGGCTGATGGCGATACGTAAAGGGCCAAAATGGACAATATTTGCTAGCGGTGGGTTTGGGCTGTTAAAAATGGTATTTGCTAAGGAGGGTGGATTGTGATATCCCACATCGGTTGGAGAGGAGAACGAAACATTCTTTCTAAGGGTGTGAAAACCTCTCCCTAATAGACGCGATTTAGAATCATGAGGCCGACGGCAATACGTAACGGGCAAAAGCAGACAGTATTTGCTAGCGGTGTGCCAGGGAGGGGCCTCAAGGGGGTAGATTGTGAGATCCCACGTCAATTAGGGAGGAAAACGAAACATTTCTTATAAGGGTGTGGAGCCCTCTTCCTAGTAGAGATGTTTTAAAACCGTAAGGCTAACAGAGATACGTAACAGGCCTATGTTTACTTAGTTGCTCTTGTCTTTGAACTGCTGAACACAATGAACAAGATTCCTACTGGCTAATTTGTACTACTTTTTAATCAGAACTACAGATCTTAGATCATTACATATATATTACTATTATCATTCCTTTTTCATTGCAAATTATGATAATTTGGGGTCATATCTACTTTCTACTTAACAAATTTTGATGTTTTTTTTGTTCTCTATATAGGCATCAAGTTATGCAGATCCTCAAGATGCATGTACCGCCATAGCTGCCGAGTCGTATAAACTATGGATGGAACATGAAAATCGTACCGATGATATAACCATCATTATTATTCATATCAAAGGCTTGTCTAATGTATGAAGTACACAATAATCATTTTGGATACATTTTTCATGCTCTTGTATATGATCATCGTATAATTTTCCACCGCAGAATGCAGGATTACGTTGGACTGAAAAAAAAAAAAAATTATGACAAATTTTTTACTTATATCTGTTATCCTTTCATATAAGCCTATGTTTTGACTTGAAAATTAGTGGTTCAATGCTTTGGTTTATATTCATTAGCTTGTGAACCTTGTTGCTGCTCCCTTGTTTGAGTGGTTGCTTTAGTCAGGCGCTGAGAATTCTTCAAGCATAGGGGAGTGGTTGCCCGGGTTTCTTGAAAACGTCCGGGTCGAAATCTGGCTTTTGCTGATCTACTGAACTCTCAACGAATCGGAACCCGGTGATCGTAGTTCCAACATGAAGTAGTGAGAGAGTTTTGTAATGGTAGTCTTTCCTGTTCTATATCATTTTACTGCTGAATTTAATCGTTTTCATTGAGAAACACCTGTTTAGGACTCTAATGTTCCTGTAACATTTCTCCACTGGGACTTGAAATGCATCCTGAAAGGTAAGTATTGACTAACAATCAGAGATTAATCTTAGCTTTGCTTAGAAGCAATCGCCTCTTAGTTTCTGACTTCACTTTGTTTATGCCTACAGGTGAAACAAATGTACTCATCTTTCAGCTTAGCATTCCACCAAATAAGTTGACAGAGATAGAGGGTTTCAACTAACAAATATTGTCCGATTTGATCTGTTACGTATCGTCGTCAGCCTCACGGTTTTAAACTATGTCTACTAGGGAGAGGTGGAATGTTTCGTTCCCGTATTCAACCGATGGGAAATCTCATAATCACACCCCTTCTCCTTTGGGGTCAGTGTCCTCCACCTCCGCCCGGTCTCTTAGCTTTATTACCATTTGTAACAGCCACAAGCCCACTAGCAAATATTGTTCGTTTTAGTTTATTACGTATCACCGTCAGCATCACGGTTTTTAAATATGTGGGAGAGGTTTCTACACCTTTATAAGAAATGTCTCGCTTTTCTCTTGCTTATAAGGTGGATCTAAACATCCGTCAATTCCATGTATTTTCTCATGTCAATGTTGTTCATGTTAATGCAACAAAATTAAAGTCAAAATCTCTCAACACTCTGCTCCTTTACAGATATGAAGAACCTGAAGTGAAGGACGAGCATTCATTTAGCTGCTCGACTTTCTCGTCCGCTTCGCTCCGAGTGATTCTCCGGCGGCGTATCCACCGGTTTTCCCATTTTTCTTCGTTCAGGTCGGACCCAAATTATGCAGAATGGAAACACACGGAGGTAAAGATTATGTTTTCTTAATCTGTAACACTCATATAAATTTAAGGAATTTCAAATAATTAAAATCGGTGAAGTAAAAAGAATCCAAATTTAATAAAATATATTAGACTGTCTTGAAATTTAATAAAATATGCATAATATAAATGTGTATATATATATATATATTTTAAAAATATACTAAATTGGTTATTTAACCTAATTAATATTTATTATTAAATGCTGCCAGCTTTTTTATTCTTTTTAGAAAAAGAAAAAAAAGATGTATCTTTCTTGTGATTCCATCCTCCACCTACCGAACTCAAAAACCCTTTTCTTCTCCTTCATGTCTCCCATGTGCCGCCGCTTCCCTGTCTCGAAAAAAGAAAAATACAAAAACCAATGGCGTCGATCATGATTTCAAGGAATACACATCACAATTCATCTGTTTCATTTCTGTACTGTCTGAATTTGACTGAAGTAACTTTGAATTTTTCTTTTCTGGGCTGATACGACGAGCTCGATGTGATCTTTAATGGCGGATTTCATTTCTGTAATTGAAAGAAATTGAACTTCTGTTTTCAGAACTGATACAGGTTCGAAATGATTATCTATGGCGGAAATTAGACATGGAAGAGGATAGGGAAGAGAATTGAGAGGAAGGGGAAAAGGGAGTTAAAATCAAATGGTGAAGAATTGCAAGAACAATGGCCATGGCGGCCAGTTCTACAAAATCTTCATCAGAATTGTTTCTTATTATTATGTTAAAGATTCATAATATCATACAGAAGAACGAAAAAAGCTCTAACAAAGCCTTTTGACTCGAAGGAATTCACAACAGAGCAGAAAATTAATCATTCAAAGCGCAAACTACTTCTTCTTCCGGCCTAGGTTTTAGCTAAATTCTTACAATACACAGAATTTCTTCCCCGTTTAACAAACCTGGATCATCATAGGTATTTTTGTTTTTTAAATCTGATTTACCTGTCTCGTTGGCTCGATTTGCAGATCTACCACCGTTTAAAAAAATCATGGCAGTTCAGATCTGGACAGATCGAAAGAGACGTAAGAAAGATGAGAGATGAGAAATGGACGAGAGGTGGTTTTTACTACGAATTTCAGATCCAAATTCACGATCTGGAGAAGATCTCATGCGTCGAGACGAAGCAAACGCCTCAGATCTCTTGTGGCCGAGTCGTCAACGATGGTGGATACCTGTTTCTTCTTCGAGAACGACGGTAATGGAAGAGAACTAGGAGATGGAGACATCGAAAACGCTGATCCGGCGTAAACATCGGCTTTTCCAACAATCGGACACCTAACGTCGACGATCCGGATCTGCTTCAGTACCATTTCCGGCGCCGGCCCCAACCTCTCGGTCCCACACACGACCAGATTATCAGCTTCCTTCTTCAGAGCTTCGCCCTTCGTCTTCGAATCGAGCGATTCACCTCGCCTCAAGATCGTAACATTTTCCATCACCAAACTATTCGTCCTGGTCTTCGAATCCTCGGAACTCGATCTCTTCGAGACCGATGGCTCCGATTGATTCGAAACAAACCGTTTCCGCTGCTCCGGCCGATCCGACCTAGCCGCAGATTTTCGGTTGGATCTAGAATTATAGTTACAAACATTCGAATCAGAGTTTCCATAAGAACCCCGGCGACGACAAAAGGCCACCAGTGGAACTCCGATCCTTCCTTTCAAACAATCCTGAGGTCGTAGAATCTCAGTCCCCATGGATGAAAGATCTCAAACTCCCTGAGAAATCTCCCAAAAAACAAACGAAAAAAAAAAAAAAAAA